GTGGCGGAGCTGGGTACACGGCTCTGCCGGGATCCGCTCTTGGCCGGACCCAAGCCTGATACGCGGGCGCAGTGACAAAACCCATTACGCGACGGGGGCCGGCCCCACGATCCACGGCCGCGGGTCACTGGAGGGGGACCGCGACCCCGAACGCGGCGAGACGCGCTGTCGCTTTCTTTGCTGTTGCCGAGTAACATGGGTCCAGTGCTGCTTCTGCTGGCGCTGCTTGCCGCAGCGTGCGCCGGGGTCCGCGGGAACACCGAGATCCGGCACTTCCGGCCGAGCGCGGGCGGGCATGCGCATCCGAGCCAGCGGGTGCTGGACCTGGTTGCCGCCGCCATTCCGAACCAGGCCGTGCTGGCCGGCCCCTATACGATCTCGGGCATCGAGGAAGTAGCCCCGGCGGGGAGCGCGATAGCGGGCGACGCAGCCAAGGCCCGGTGGTATCGGCTGCAGGGGCTGGAGCCCGGGCGCTCGTACGAGGTGCGCATATCCTACGCAGCCAGCACGCCGGCCGACTTTGGCATTGCGCTCTACACCGTTGCAGAGATCATGGACCGCCACGGCATTGCGCTGGACGACCGGGGCGCGGCGCAGGACGGGGTGACCATGTACGCAAGGGTCACGGCGACGTACACTGGCGTGTCGCGAATCCCAGGCATGGAGGACCGCCCGGTGCCGTACATCATCGTGCTGGAGAAGCATGTGCTGGGGATACCGGTGCAGGCGCTGAAGCTGGTGGCGGTGCTGGTCGCTGTGGTTGCGCTCGGCCTTTTCGTCATTGTCCCGCGCGTCCTGGCAGAGGCCGATGCGGTGCTGGCCGAGCCGCTCAAGGAGGACTAGCGGCCGCCCGCCCGCCGCCTCGACGCCGCCGCCTGCCACACAGCCTCCGCGAGCATAAGCGCCGCGCACAGGGCGCAGAGGCCCGGCAGCAGCCCGGCCACGATGGCCCTGAACCCGATGCGCGTATACAGCCACGTTGCGATGGGCGGCGCAAACAGGGACGACACGGACCAGAACGAGTTGTACACGCCGTAGCTCTGCGCCATCGAGTTGATCCCCAGGCTGTTGACAAAGTCGCCAAAGCTGCTCATCACCGGGATGTTGACCAGGAGCAGCCCCGACGCAAGCAGCGCCTCGGCGCCGACGATTGTGCCAAACGCCGTGCTCAGCCCCATTGCAAGGGCGGCGCCGCCGGCCATGCACAGCCCGGCCGACACGATGCCGGCGCGCGCGGTCTCGCCGTGGCGGGAGATGGCCCAGTCGACGCCCGACCCGACGGGGATGGACAGCACGATGGCCACGCCGCCGTTGATTGTGTAGATGAGCCCCGCCTTTGACGCCGAAACCCCAAACCGGTCCTTTGCGTGGATGGCCAGCACGTTGTCGAGCGAGCCCGTCAGCACCCCGACAGAGAGCGCAATGACCGACGCGGACAAAACCTGCCACTGGAGCACGAGCCTCCACAGCGGCATCCGCGGAGCCGGCTCCTCGGAGAAGGTTGGCCCGGTGGCGACGGTGATGTCGCTGCAGTCGTCCTTTGTCTCTGCTGCTGCTGCCTCGCTGGCGGCGGCGGCGGTGTCCTGCAGCGGCCCCTGGTCCTTTACCAGGCGGCTGCGGATGTCGAGCGGCTCTTTGATCCCAAACGCCAGCAGCAGGGCCAGAAACCCGCCGGAAACCACTACCGCGCCGTCGCCACGATGAGTCTCTCTGTTTTCTTTTTTTTCTCTCCAGAGACGCCCAGCAACTTACTGATGACCGAGGATATGCCGCGCACGCCGATGCGGTCGTAGAGCGCGCCGCCCATGACCGGGCCCACCATGTACCCGGCGCTGTTGAAGATGCCGAGGAGCGACATCTGGAGTCCGAGCAGCTTTTTCGGGCGCACATCCGCGACGGCAGCGGTCGTGATCGGGTAGACGAGGCCCGAGGCCATGCCATTGAGCACGCGGTACAGCAGGACGTGCCACAGCTTGTGCGACAAGCCCAGCACCAGGCCCGAGGCAACGTAGCCTGCAGAGCCGATGACCAGCGGCAGCTTGCGGCTCTTCCACCGGTCGCTGACAACCCCGGCCAGGACGCTGGTGATGACCGAGCCGACGCCAAACATTGCCATCACCAGGCCGATCTTTGCCTTGGACGCCAGCTGCATGTCCTCAAACAGGTGCGGCAGGCAGGCGAACGAGATGCTGTAGATGGTGTTGTCGATGAACTGGGCGATGCAGGATCCGGCCACGACCAGGGCGGGCATTGCGCGCACGCGGTCGACGTTGCCCAGCCACCTCCAGACGCTGCCTGGGCCCGGCATCCCTTGCGGTTCGCCCGTTGACGCACGAGAGGGCAACATGGGTGGAGTGCGGCAGTGGTCGCCTGCCAGGCACAGGGGCACCGGGCGAGGAGGCGTGCTTTAAGCGGTGCGGAAGGGAGCATCAGCTGCTTGCGTGTTGGGCCAAAGGGGCAGGGCAAGCGGCGAGCGGGGGGGGGTGGTGGTGGTGGCAAGCGTGCCGCCTCGCATCGCATTTGCCAACCAGCCATCGGCCGCGCAGTACGCCAAGAATATTTCCGGGTGCATGTACCAAGTGGACAGGGCTACTGCAAAAGCATGCGACTAGAGCCTTGGTTTGGCGCCGCCGCTCTGCCTGGCCTGCAGGCCCGCGAGCGCCCTCACCACGGCCTGCTGCGTGTCTTTGGATATCATGCGGAGGTAGAGCCCCTCCATCTCGACCTCGTTGGCGCGCAGCAGCTGCTCGATGACGCCCCGCTCCTTGATGAGCCCCCGTGTCGCCTCGAGCGCCCCCCGCGACTGGCCGGCCAGCCTTTTCGCGAGGCTTAGCGCAAGTGGCAGGAGCTCGTCGAGCTTGGTCACGCGGACGACAAAGCCCCGGCTGTGCATCTCGGCCGCGCCCATTGCCTTGCCAAAGAGCAGCATGTCGTTGGCGACGGCCGGGCCGAGGATGCGCGGGAACGTCAGCGAGCTGCAGCCCTCGGCGCAGAACCCCAGCTCCATGAACGGCGTGCGGAACACGGCCGTCTCGGAGGCCAGGACCAGGTCGCACAGGGCCAGCGTGGTGCACCCGTAGCCAATGGCCGGCCCGTTGACGGCGGCGATGATCGGCACCGGCGACGTGATAAGCAGCTGGGTCAGGTCGCGGACCACGTTGCAGCGCTCAAAGTACTGCCGCTTCACGGCGTCTGTCAGGGCCATGCCCGTCGACGAGAGGTCGTGGCCCACCGTAAAGGCCCGGCCCCGCCCGGTGATGACCAGCACGCGCACGCTCCGGTCGGTGTGGACGTACTCCATCACGTCCAGCCACTCGGCGTACGTCTCGTACGTGAGCGAGTTCATGTGCCTGGGGCGGTTGAACGCCATGACCAGCACGCCCGGCGCGTGCAGCTCGAGGGCGATCGTGTCCAGTGCTGGGAGCACGCTGCCCTGCGCGGAGGGCGAGCCGCCGCTGTGCAAGGATGGCTCCATGTTGTTTGTTTGTTTGTTTTTTCTGCGCGGGGGGCGGGAGGAGTGGGTGGGTTGCTGTTGTGGAGGAGTGCGGGGTGGGCGGGGGCACAGCGGCAACAAGGGGCATGCGTCTGATCGCAAGATAAAGCCGGCGGGCCGGGGCGGAGGCACCGTGCGATTTCCGGGGAAAAGAACCAGTAGAACAGTCGCTGCGGACACCCGTGCCACGACTGTTTGTTCGAGAAAAGGAACAGTCAATCGCGGCGGGCGGAGCGATTCACTGCTTGTTTGTTGGCCTGGTCTTGCTCCGCTTGGCCCCATTGGCGGACTTGGTATTGTCGCCGGGCTGGCTGCGCTTGGTGCTGCTGATCTTGAAGAACGAGTCGATCCTGACCTGCTGACCTTTGCCCACCGCCTTTTCGAGCTTGGCCGCCGCCGAGCGCACGCGCTGCTCGCTAAACTCCATCTCGTGGACCAGGAACTGCACCAGGCCCTCGACGTCCGGCTTGGCCCACACAAACTCGTCTGCGCACTCGTCGACCTCGGGCCTCTGGAACAGCTCGCGCGCCGACGCGTACGGCCAGTCGTCGGGCACGCCCTTGGCCACCTTTTCGAGCTTGACCGCCTCCTCGATCGTCTTGCACGCGCGGATGTGCTCGTAGCCGGACTTTGGCCCCACGCCGCGGATCGACTCGCAGTAGTCGCACCCGAGCACGATTCCCAGGTCGATCAGCTGGTCCTGTGTGTACTCGAGCCCGCCCAGCACCTCCTCCAGGCGGATTTCCTCGATCGGCAGCTTGCGCGCCGCCGGCGCCGTCAGGTTGCGCAGCAGCACCGGCGCGCCAAACAGCAGCGTGTCCATATCCTGCGACGCCGCCGCCCACACCCGGCCCGCCCTGGCCAGCGCCGCGCACTGCGCCTCGGCCTCGCACGGCGCCGTGACGATCGGGATGCCCATGAGCCTGAGCAGCCGCTTGGCCTGCTCGTTGATCTCGGGCGTCACCTTGGCCAGCCGCTTTGTCTGCTTGAGGATCTCGTCGTCGTTGCCCTCCTCCTCGGCCGCCTTTAGGCTCGCCTCGGCCTTTTCGCGCTTCTCCCGCCGCTTCTCGAGCTCGCCGCCCTTCATCACGGGCGGCTTGCCGTCAAACACGTACACCGGCTTGAGCCCGTTCTCCACCATGTTGACCGTCCGGTACAGCAGCCCGATCAGGTGGCTTGTTGTGTGGCCCTCGGACGTCGCCAGGCTCTGGCCCTCGCTGCGGACCGCGACCAGGAACTGGTACAGCGACGTCGACGCGTCAATCGCCACCTTGCGCCCCACCAGCTGCGCCATCTCCACCGTGCGCAGCGCCGCCGGCGCCCGGTCCGCAATGACCTGCTTGAGCCCCTTGATTCCCATGGAGAATGACCCACCCGCAACAGCAAGAGGCAAAACAAACAACACAGACGCGATCAGCCGGCCGACCGATCGATTGACCGACCGACCGACGCGTCGCGCTCCAGGATCGCACGATCACTGGAGAGCAAAAGGGGATCAAAAAGCCTTTGATGAGAGCGAGATTCGAACTCGCGCGGGAAGCCCCACTGCGGCCTAAACGCAGCGCCTTAGACCACTCGGCCATCTCACCGGGGCGGCCTACGGCCCGGCGTTTTCAGGGAAGGGCAGCCGGGACAATGATAGGCCAGGCGTAGTCACGTGACAATCGCCAGGTGGCTGGCGGGGGGTCTTTCCAGCACACCACGCTGCGGGCGGGACATGGATGCATGCTTGGGCTGCTGCTGCTGCTACTGCTGCTGCAGAGTACGGAACACAGACAGACAGAAAAGGAAAAGAAAGACAAGAAAAAAGGGGGGAGAAGAGCGGTGCTATGCCAGGCTGGATGCAGCAAATAACCTGCCTCATGCGTGCAGACGCGATGTTTGCCCGCTGGCGACTGACCGTCATGCACCGCGCCATTCACGACTTTCGCACGCACGTCTCTCCCGCAGGCTGCCGCCGCTTTGCTTCCAGATGGACCACCGTGGGGT